CCCAGCTTGCGCAGGAGGGTGGTGAAGCGCGAGCGCTCCTTGGTGGTCTTGGCGCACAGGATCTCCGCCTGGCCCATGAGCGTGAGTTCGTCGCCCGCGTGCAGCGTGAAGTTGTACACCTCGCTGTCCTCGCTGAACTCGCCGGACACCACCTGGGGAGCCCGGAGACGGGGCGAGGCCTCAGCCAGGGCCCTCCTCTTCGGGCCCCCCAGGACTGAGGCCAGATCAAGGCCAGGACAGCCGCGTTCCATTCTGGAGAGGCCACTGGTGGCTGCGCGACCTTCAGTGAGTTTGTTGCCTTTGCGGGCCTTACTGGCCGCATCTGGTAACTCTTATTTGCAAGAGCTGCTGTGGGATTAAAAAGACTATAGTGCAGGGACACGCTTTGGAAGGATTTAGTACATGGCAATTTTTATTATCACTGTTTAAGCCATTTGGATGACAGTAACACCCCACCCAGGCAGCCATCAGGGCTGCTGTGAAGATAAATGAATTGAGAGATAAGAAGGTTTGTAAAGAGTCAAGAGCCATCTGTGCCAGCGGGGGACTGTTTGCACTGCACTCACCCCAGCCACCACCTTCACCAGTGGGTGTCGGGCAGCTAGGGACAGGGCATGACCCCTCCAGACGCCCCCTCCTGCTTCACTACTTTTCCCAGGAAGTCCCGAGCCCAGAGGGTCCTGCACCCCACACTTCTGACATAAACTGATGGTGCCAGAGGCCCCCAAGGGGTCCCTAGAAGTCACTCTCCCTCTTGAACCCTAAGGGCCACCTCCCAGAACGGTGCCTGAGAAAAGAGGCATCACGGGGACACAATGCCTGGTGTGGGAAGGACTGACCTTGACGCTAAAGGTGATGGCTTCCATCACAAAGATGCGGTCAGGGAAGACGCTGGCCACCTCCTCCACGCTGCTGAAGTACCTCACCGGCTCCCGCACATCCCGGGCCTGCTCCAGGAGCTTGAACTTCCCTGCACAGGGTAGCGAGGGCTGCTGGGATGGACCTGCATGCTAGGAGCCTGGCCCGCATCCTGAGTGCCCTCAGGGTCCCTGCTTCTTGCTACCCTGGTTTCAGCTTGCCTGGATCTCAAGAGGGCAGAAGGGCAGATTTTCTCCAGCAGGGGCTGGAGGGGGCTGGCCATCTGGCTCAAGCCTTGGGAGTGGGGAGCAAGGATCCCCAGGACCTAGCACCCAGCCCTCACCTAACAGAGAGCTTGCAGCTGTGCAGTGAGGCTAGCAGCTGCCTGCTCCGAGAAACCCACATGTAAATGGCCCCAAGCACCTGGCCCTGATCAAGTATGAGCGTGGCACTGGGAATGCTGGCTTCTAGCTTGGTCCCAGCCTTACTTCTGACTTGCTGTGACCCAAGACAAGTTCCTTGCCTTTGGGTCCTCACCTGAAGGGGTTGGGACAGATGATCTTGGGCCCTGCCTGGCTCTGGCATCCTGGGCATCCACCTTGGGTCTCTGACCCACTGGATTCATGGGGCAGACCGTGGGCCTAGCCCAGGCCTTGGAGGCACTGGGAGAGCCACTCTGATCCCAGCTCTGTTCCCAGACCCTGCCCTGGTCCAATATCCAATCCCACTGTCCCAGAGGCTGTGACCTGAGCCCAGCAAGCCACTACACTCAGGAAGCCTTCCTGACCTGCAGTCCAGGCCTGCTTTGGCTGGCTCAGAGCTGTCCCCAGTGGACACAGAGATGCGAATCCATGAAGCTCACACCCCTATGTAAACTCTCTCACCTTTTATGTGCCACCCACATGAGCACAGAGACTGGCTGTGGACCAGCTGGCATCAGAGGGCTGCCTTTCCCAGGCTTTATCCACAGGAAGGGAGTCTTGGATAGGTGGGGAGTGACAGGTCATGAGGAGACAAGGTGGCCCTTTAGCTTTGAAGTCCTCCTGGCAGTTGCCTCATCGTCCATTCATTCATTATTTACTCCACAAACATCTGGGGAGCACCCACTATGTGTCAGACACTGAGCTTGCCCCCACAGAGGGTGCAGATCGTTGGAATTCAGTCTGCCCTCAAGGAAATCCAAATTTGGTGGGTGAGACAGCGAGTATCCCAAGAAGACAGGATGGGACAGAGCTAGAGGACCCCTGGGTTGGGAGAAGCCTGCATGATGGAGTTTGGGGGGACCCCTGAGCTGCCCCTTGAGAATGAAAGGGAGTTCACCGATTGGGCATGCCTGGTGGAAGAAACAGCGTGAGCAGAGACACAGAAACAAGTGCAGACTACCTGCCCTCAGTGGCACCTGCCTGCAGGGAAGGACTCCAGGAGAGTAGGCCAGGAAGAGAAGTAGACAGCAACTGGGCTCTGAGAGGATCTGGGTGCATGCAAAGGCGGCAGTGCTGCATCCATAAGAAACGACACCCACTGGCATGTTCCGAGCAAGTGCTATGCTCCAGGTTGACCTCCATGAAGATAACTGGGAGACCACTTAGGTAAAAAACCCAGCAAGGAGTTCTGGAGAAGAGCTAGGGAGCAGCAAAACTGAGCAGACCAAGAGCTACTCGGAAGGGTGGCAGCTTCAGTTGTGGGGCAGGTAGAATGGCTCTGGGAAGAGGAAGAGACTCCTCCCACCTGCACTCCCAGCATGAACACACACGATGGCGTACACGGTGACGGGGGTTCCTAGAGACCCCCAAGCGCAGCGAGAGACCCAATTAAGACCCTGTGCCGGGTATGAGGAGCAGAGGAAGGAGAGCCGGGCCTGAAGCACCAACGCCAGGAGCAGGGAGAGGCATGCGAGCCCAGAAAGCCAAGGAACAGAGCTGTGAGAGGAGCCCCGGTCCTGACCTAACCACCCCAGGACCCCCGGGATGAGACAGAGACGGGTGAGCAAGGAGCAGGGGTCTGGGATTTAGGAAGCAGGAACCGCAAGTCTGCCACCATCCGACAGCCAGCAAGCAGCCCTCCTCACTCTGCCTCCTCCCCCTTATCCAGACACGACCCTCCAGCCCCAAGTAGCCAGGCGGGGAGAAATGCCCACTGCCCCCTGTGAAGAGCCTTGGAGCCAAGTCAGGGCTGGAGCCCCGGGAGGATGTGGCAGGGCAGATCGATGTAACCATGGCACCCAGCACCACCCCCTCAGCCACAACCTGGAGCCCAGCAAGGGCCATTACTGCGGGGAGGAAGGAAGGGAGACCTCCTGGGAGTGATGCTCCGGCCCCTGGAAGCCTCTTCCTCCCGCCTGCAGCCCAGTCCAGAGGCAGCTTCCTCTCCTGCCTCCCGCTGGGGGGAACCAGAGGTCCCCCAGGGCTCTAGGGACCTACCCCGTCCAGGCCTGCCCCTCCTTCCTGCCCTCGACCTCCCAAAGTGCTTGTGCAGCCCGCTCCTCCCTTCTAGCCTGAAGCACCCAGGGTCGGAGCAGGGCCTTGCCTGACACCCTCCTCCCAGCACCTGATCCACGGCACAACTCCGTAAAGAACGTGGGTAAGAGCACAGGCCTGGGAGTCGGACCCATCTGGCTGAATCCCAGCTCTGCCACCATCCGGCTGTGTGACCTTGGGCCAATTACTTAATCTCGCTGGGCTGCAGTTTTCCCATCTGTAAAACGGAAGCACACTCCTGGGCTCACAGGTGCATGTGCCAAGCGCTCCGCTCGGGAAACGCGCCGCGCTCGGGAAGAGGCCTGACCCCTCGGGCATGACCGTGGGGACCGCCTCGGAAGAGCCAGGTCTCCCTGACTCCCGGG